AGTCTTACACTGCTAAATTAGGGACGGCTAGCGCAGATAGCCCTCGTGTAGCTTTGCGCGAAATTCAAACCAAACCCAAACCCAATATAATTCATTTTCAAACTTTCTGCCTTAAGTGTTGGAGGAACACCTAGTAGGAAAAGGAAAAGTGAGACTTATCATACAGTTACTAAGTACTGAAAAACTTCAGAGTAAGTGTTCCCCAAATTGATAGCAGAAAGTGAAGCAATTGTATAGTAAGACCATTACCTGGATGTATGTGCCAGGTCATGCAGGGCTACAAGTCAACGAAGAAGCTGACAAGCTCAAAAAAAGCCACTCTCTAAAATCCGGCACAACTCTACAGGCAGAATATCAACTTCCTCTGCAATAATAAAGCGAAAATGGCAACCATGGAAGATCTTCGTTGACAATCAGAGGGAATGAGACTGCTGGAAAACAAAATGCCATATGGTGTAGCTAGGAAAGCAAAATATGGGTAATCAATAGAAAAGTATACAAGCAGAAGGACACTGGTAACATCAGTAAAAAAAATTCTATTCTTCCTCTTGGGATGCAGCCTGTCTCCACATGAAATTACGGCGTCTGTCTGTGCAACCCATGAAATTGTTACATGATGTTCAACTCAAATTACACTTCTCAGTTTTCAAACATTGTGTTTCTGTTAAGATTTCTTCTTTTTTGTTTATGTATATATTTTTTTAGTATTAAGTTTTGGTACTTGTTACCTGGTGTTCAACTCAAATCAAACTTCTCAGTTTTCAAACATTGTGTTTCTGTTAAGTTTTCTTCTTTATTGATTATGTATATATTTTTTTAGTATTAAGTTTTGGTACTTGTTACCTGGTGTTCAACTCAAATTAAACTTCTCAGTTTTCAAACATTGTGTTTCTGTTAAGTTTTCTTCTTTATTGATTATGTATATATATTTTTTAGTATTAAGTTTTGATACTAACTATTCTCTATTTCTCTAAACATTTTAACTTTCAAATGTTGGGTTTACTTTCTTTTTTATTAATTGTATATCTGTTTATGATTGACTTTGAGTACTTACTAATTATTCACTATATATTTTCTAAACTTTTCAGATTTACTGCATAAACAATTAATATTGAAAAAAATAACAGTTATTTTGAGTTCAAATTGAAGTTATTTACATCATGTATCCATAGAAAACGTATGAAACATATAGTTATTTAAAATTCAATATAGTTTAATGAAAGAATACAATCTTTTAAAATTCTAGATAATTTAATTTCCAAAC